ACCCGCGATACTCGGCTCCCTTGCGATCGAGGCATTTGATCCGAGCGTGGCTACGTGGCGACGTTGGCTACTGCGGTTGCAAGGCGCTTTTATGGTTTTCGGAATCAAAGACAATGCCCGAGTGCCTTATCTGCTACACTACGTGGGGGCCACGGCTTTTGACATCCTGTGCGATCGGTTGGACCCTGATGATCCATTCGCAAAATCATATGATGAGTTGGTCCAGAAATTAGAAGAATTCTACGAACCGGTGCCATTGGAGATCGCTGAAAATTACAAATTTCACCAGCGAAGACAACTCGAGGGAGAAACGGTACAGCAGTATGTGGCGGGCTTGCACAAGTTGAGCGTCCATTGCAAATTCGGAGACTACTTAAAGACGGCGCTGAGAAATCAGCTCGTTTTTGGTCTGTTGAATTAAAGGGCTCAGGCGCGTTTACTGGAAAAGAAAAACTTGACCTTCGACGAAGCCGTAAACGTGGCTGTTACCATGGAGTTATCAGAAAAAGGTTCATAGCAAATGAAGTTGAATGGCGCGGACGCAACTTCCGCAGGTATAGAGTACCTGAAAGCTGGTAAGAAACCACCCGCTAAAGGTGCTACGGGTAAACACGTCAAACAACAGTCTAGCAAATCTAGTAGTAAGGCGACAAACGCGCGTTCTAAATCAGATGTAAAAACTGTAAAATGTTTTAGGTGCGGTAAACAACACCTAGCTTCCAAATGTACGCTCAGTCGTGATGTGCGTTGTCATGGCTGCGGGAAGTTAGGACATTTGCGTGCGGTATGCTTCGGAAACAGCTCCTCTGCAAACCAGTTGCAAGAACTTCTACAATTAGAACACATACACGCTCGTGATAAATTCATGATTACTCTCGAGGTAAATGGAAAGTATGTAGAATTTGAAGTGGACAGTGGAGCAGCTGTTACGGTAATGAGTAAGTGCAGGGCCGCTACTCTCTTTCCCGGTGTGCCCGTTTACCATACAGATCTAAAGTTAATCTCATATTGCAATCGTACCTTGCGGAGCGTAGGATATGTTTCGGTGAATGTAAAATTCAAATCTGTAAGCAAGAAATTAAACGTGTATTTAGTAACTGGCAGTAAGAAACCACTACTCGGCAGAGAGTGGATACGACAATTGTCAATTGAATCTGATTTCTGGCATTGCAAGGCTTCAATAAATCGAGTAGAAAGCCAAGAAAATAAGTTACAATCGGTATTGCAAAGATTTCAAACAGTATGCTCTACTGAACCAGCGGCTATCAAAGGCGTTCAAGCGAATTTAACATTAAAGCCAAATGCCACGCCGGTATTCGTAAGAGCTCGACCTGTACCATTCAAATTGTTGCCGCTAGTAGAGCAAGAGTTAGACAGATTAGAGTCCGCTGGTATTCTTGAAAAAGTGGCTACGTCCAAATGGGCGACCCCTATAGTCCCAATTCTGAAACGCGATGGGAGCGTCCGCATCTGTGGCGATTACAAAGTCACGGTAAACCCGCAGTTAATTGTTGATGATCACCCCCTCCCCACCACGGACGAACTATTTGCAAAACTTGCGCGTGGAACTAAGTTTTCNAAAATTGACTTAAAACAAGCGTACTTACAATTAGAAATTGTTCCGGAGGATCGTGAAATACTGACTTTAAGTACTTGCAAAGGCTTATATAAAGTAAATAGGTTAATGTATGGAATAGCTTCCGGGCCTACAATATGGCAGCGAGAAATAGAAAATATTCTTAGAGGCATCAAAGGAGTCGCGATCTTTATAGATGACATTATCATTACGGGTGAATCAAATGATATACACTTGCAACGCCTAGAAGAGGTGTTACNACGATTACATAAGTATAATATTAGACTAAATTTGGAAAAGTCCAGTTTCTTTTTGGACGAGGTTAGTTATTGCGGTTATATTTTAAGTAAAGATGGAATTCGCAAAGAACAACATAAGATGGAAGCAATAAAGAGTATGCCCCGTCCTACAAATGTATCCGAAGTTAGAGCTTTCACGGGAATGGTAAATTATTATGGTAGGTTTATATCACATCTAAGCACTATCTTGCACCCACTAAATAAATTGTTGCGCAAGAATGTTCCATTTCGTTGGACAGCAGAGTGCGAGAAAGCTTTCAAAAGGGCGAAAGACGCTTTCGTAAGCGACAATNTGCTGGTACATTTCAATTCAAAATTGCCTCTGAGCTTAGCTACAGATGCCAGCTCATACGGAGTTGGTGCTATCCTATCTCATAAGTATCCGGATGGATCGGAGAAGGTGATACAGTATGCTTCGCAGGCGTTCTCGAAAACGCAATCAAAGTACTCCCAAATCGATAAAGAAGCCTACGCCATTATTTTTGGAGTAAAGAAGTTCTTTCAATTTTTGTACGGAAATAAATTCACGTTGATTACGGATCATCGTCCGCTAGTACAAATCTTTTCGCCTGTAAAAAGTTTGCCAATCTACTCTGCTATGCGTATGCAGCATTACGCTATTTTTCTTCAAGGATTCAATTACGACATTCAATATAGACGATCGGAGAATCATTCTAACGTAGACTGTTTGTCCCGATTACCGATTCGTCAGCACGAGTCTTCAACCGATTTGATCGACATTTTTCAATTAGAGCATATTAGTACACTTCCGGTAACGGCTGATAAAATTGCCGAGGAAACAAAAAAAGATAAAGAACTGTCTGAGTTACTACAGGCATTGCAGACCGGAAAACAGATTCAAAAATCGAAACGATATCAGTTAGATCAGATAGAATTAAGTTTACAAAATGGCGTGATCATGCGCGGTCCTAAGGCCGTTATTCCAAAAACGTTGCGTGCTCAATTACTCGATGAACTGCATTCTGGGCATTTCGGAGTGGTAAAAATGAAAAATTTAGCTCGGCAGTATTGTTGGTGGCCGGGGATTGATAGCGATATAGAAAATTTAGCAAAAAACTGCGCAGACTGCAGAATGCATATGAACAATCCNCCGAAAGTAGCTGTGCATCATTGGCAACCACCTACCGCCCCTATGCAGCGTGTGCATATAAACTTTGCAGGACCATTCCTGGGGAAAATGTTCCTTGTTTTTGTTGATGCATACTCNAAATGGCCGGAAGTGCACGTTATGACCAATATCACTGCTGGAAACACAATTACAAAGTGCAGACAAATATTTGCGTCATATGGTTTACCACAAACTATTGTTACGGATAATGGTAGAACNTTTACGTCTGCAGAATTTGAAGAATTTGTACAATCGAATGGTATTGTACATAGGTTCACCGCGCCGTACAATCCTGCCACGAATGGCCAGGTAGAACGTTTTGTACAAACGTTTAAGCAAGCATTGAAACGTGCTCANTGCAATAAGTCAGATTTAGATTCTGCGATAAGTAGAGCGTTACTGCAATATAGAATTATGCCGCATGCTACCACAAATAAATCTCCAGCGGAAATGTTTCTAGGTAGGAAATTGCGTACGCGTTTAGACCTTATCATACCTTCCGAACGGGAAAAGAATGTACCAAGTTGTGTACAAATATCTTCAAAGTCTTTTTTACGCGGAGAAAGAGTGGCATGCAGAAATTATACCCAAAATGTTAAGTGGAAATTCGGTANAGTTACTACTAGAGTAGGAAAGCTACACTATAACGTCCTATTGGATGATGGACGTTCTTGGATTAGACATACAAATCAAATGCGTCGTATCGGTCAGAATACTCCTGAAGTAAGAGATTGTATGAGGAACACGGACTATTGGGAAACTGAGGTTGATGGGGAGTCAAACAAAGACGATAAGGCGCCGGATGAACCTGTCTCTCAACCTCGACCACAGTCTCCACAACCGGAGGTAGGCGAGCCAGCGCACGTGCAAGATGATGTACCGGTTGGCTCACCTGCCCAAGATGATGGGAATCGGCCGCGACAGCAGCCCGTGCCCAGGNGTTCCACGCGAGTCAGGAAACGCCTCGAGTTTGCGTCCAAATATAGCTTTAAGTAAATCGAACCAAAGCTTGTGATATAAGTAAATAAGAGTTAGTATATATTTCACGTGCTGCGCGTGCAATGCGGTAATGTGTAACGGAGAAGTTTTTTTTGTTTAGCGGAGAGAGTGTTAGGTATGGATTCACTTTTCGAGTTACGCGCGCACTNGCTGTTCAGGTTTAGNTATCATCCGTGCGCGCGCTCGCGTTTCCGGTTTTTCCGATCTCGCAAATTTTTGTTCGAGAAGCTCGGCGATTAGCACTTGGCACCGGCACCGCGTAGCACGCAGTACAGAGTCATACGTCTGTATACCGATACCGTCATTAAAAGAGTGTAACGGTGAAAATACTGTGCGTGTTCATTGTAATCCACCGATCCCGCCATCCCTGATACATAATAGTACGCCATTTTGGTTCCCCCTCGAAACCCTACAACTTTTATATGAAACTTTTTTCGATTCCTGGCCACACAAACGAGTTTTTGGAGGTGATAGATTCATATGACTCACCCTGTACATATTAGTTTCAGCTTATGTAAGATACTTTTACGGATTAAAACAAGCGTTTTATTTAAATATAATAAAGAAAAATAAATGACTCAGTTTTGCACCAGCTTATAAATGGAATATTTACATCAAATGTCCTGGCAACATGTTTACATCTATCCGTTCTATATGTTTATATTATATAACTCTACGTCTTAGCGTTTAGTTCCTCGCAGTCAGCCACATGAAAAGGCACACGAATAAAATAATAATAAATATAAAGCCATTTTCTTTAAATTGTATTAAAAGAATTACTTCTCTACTGAATGACGGTTTGTCAACGCGTCAAGTTGCGGAAAAATGTAGTGTTAGTCAATCAACAGTTCAAAGAATAAAAAAAAATATTGTAAAAATACATTATTGAAAATTGGATTATCACCGCAAGACGAACGAAGAATTGTACGTTATATCACATCTGGTGAAGCTTCAAGTGCCAGTATAGCTGCAGAATTATTCAGGGAAGACACAAATAAACGCATAAGTAAGTGGACGGCTCGAAGGACTCAAAGTATTAAGAATAAAGAACGCGATACAATAAGATAAATAAGAATAAAATAAAAAAGCCAATATTGTGTTTTGTAGATGGTCATAAGTCTCACATGACAATGCAACTAAGTCAATTTTGTGATAATAATGATATAATTTTGTATGCATTGCCACCAAACTGTACGCATATCATGCAGCCTGCTGCTGTAAGTGTATTTAAGCCTCTAAAAACTGATTGGAAAGACACAATTATGAAGTGGCAAGCAACACCAGAGAATGTTAATGTTAAATACGTGTCTAACAAAAATAACGTGTGCTCCACTACTCGCAGAAACTTTGAATAATAATGAACTAAAAAATAGTATTGTAAATGGTTTTCGAAGATGTGGTTTATTTCCATTTGATGCAGATGCTGTTGATTACTCAAAATGTGTACAAAATACTTTAGAAAATCTAACAACTTCGTCGAGTGATCAAATTGATGATGCCAACTCTTTAACTCAAGGTATAAAATATTTACAAGCAGTTGTTCAAAATATAGCTCCAAAATTAAAGGCTAGAGGAGTTAATACTGATATTATTATAGAAGAAATTGAAAAAAGTCTTACTTTTGAAAAAACAGATTCCTGTAAGTATAATTTTTTGCATTTTAAATCATAGTTTCCGTATTTGTTTTCAAGTTTCTGAACAAATTTTGGATTCATTATGATATAATATTTGAATATAATATTTAGTATAATAAGTATTTGAATATATGATTTTTCAGTTGCTGAATCATCAGATGAGATTAGTCAGTTTGATACTGAAAAAACAGAAAGTACTAGTGAAATAAACATTGACAATGCTATTCAAATAGATAAACTTGATGGATTGTCTAAGATTGGTGAGTTTGATTATAAAACTGAAAATACTGGTAAAATAAACATTGATAATGCAATTCCAATAGACAAACTTGATGATTCGTATGACAAGAAAGTTACTTTAGGTACATAATAAATCACAAATTTTCTAATAGAAAAATTGAATATTTGAAGATTAACTAGTATATTCTTTTAGTCTTTCTAGATGGTTCAATATCAGGAATTCTTGTTATTAAGGTACTTTCTTCAAATAAATCCAATCTTGAATCCGTTCCCTCTCCAACAACAATATTTATATTATTTTATTTTTCACAAGTCTTGTTACTATCATCAATATTTATTAAATTTCTCAAAGTGTCTCTTACACGAATCAACATTTTATTTTATGTACATATTTTTTTTATTTTTTGATGTCTTTTAGACAAAAACATTAATCCTGATGATACCTCTCTTTCAAACAGCCCTTCTGATCCTACAAATAGTTTAATGACTTACTGACAAACAGAGAACTCACACTCAACATATTAAAAATGAGAAGGTTAACTTCTCAATAAAGCTTTCGAGAAACATATTTATTATCCAGCTTTATTGAAAAGCAAACAGCAAAAGGCACCAAAAGTTAAACCTCCGAGTGCTATCTTATCAAAATTGTGGCGTGATTTTTACAAAGAAAAAACTGTAGAAAAAGAAAATATTGAATTGCGAAAACGCCAAAAACAAGAGGAAAAATTAAGAAAACAAGCCGAGAAGTTACAGAAAATTAAAATTAAGAAAGAGAAAGTACAAGAATGAGAAAAAGAAGATTGTGTGAAGAAGCAGCAAAAAAGAAGATTGAAATAAAAAAAAAAGTAGAAGAATGGGTAGAGAGTATAGAAAGTAAGAAACAAAAGTTGTGCAAACCGAAAACAAAAAAAATTAGGTAAATGTATCAAAGATCACTCTGATAAAAAAAGAAGAATAAATAAATTAAAAGCATAAAAAGCCAAAAAAATTGAATAATTTATAATCTATATCTAATTATCTTAATCTTATTCTTTATAAGACTGATAGCTTTAACTAAATACAATAAAGATTGGGTAAATATTTAGAAAAGGTCACTCCCTTCCAATTTTAATGAGCTTGACATATGTTGTCAAGGATATCTTCCTGAGTAACAATCAAAAGGTTTTAGCCGTCGCTCGTTATTTAAAGAAAAATTATAAACAATTGAAGTTTCAGAACTAAATTTTTATTTTTCGACATCGTGTACATTTTTTTCATGTTGGAAGCGTGTAAGCAGGGGGGGCTACGCCCCTCCACCCTGCTCCCCCCTCGAGAAAATGTAGAAAACGACTTCTGATTAATAGCGATTTCGGCTGGTCTGCACCGGTGTGCCACCTGTGTAGAGTTGGTGCAAGTGTGCAGTGCGTACACTCATGTGGTGTTGCACTGGATATTTCGACCACGCTAGTGTGTATCAGCCGAACACGAGACCACACCAACTGGCTCCAACTAATTTGTGAGAGCCACTTTGTGTACACCCAACATGCATCTATGCAGTGTACTGAGCTCAGACGAATACGCGGCACCAGCAAGGAACTGCACCATTCGACCAGCCGAACACACAAGTTACACCAACACCCAAAATATGCAGTCGGTGTAGACCAGCCGAAATCGCTATAAGTGTTGCACTTGTAAATGAGAACGAGAAAACCATGTTCCATGGAAACCACTTATTGCAAAATTGCACAATTTTTTCATACGTTTGCGACCACGAACAACTTTATAATATTTATTTACACATTTAAATATGAAATTTGAATTGCCATTCCGAAAATGTAATATTGCGTTACATCGCGGACATTCTATTTCTTTTCGAATTACTTTTTTGTCTCCTAAATAATTTACTAATTGATCAAAATCGTACGTTAGGTGAATAAATTCATGGAACAACATGTTGAACAATTGATGACTCACACACAACTACACTGACTGTCAATATTGAACATAAGAAGCAGTAAGAAATAATCATCATAACATTTGTTTGCGACCTCTACATACTTATTCATATTATACGTCTTTGAAAAGTAAATATTTAGAACAATTATGACTTAAGGCTCGTGAAATTAACAACAAGATATATATATAAGGCCATACGAGCCATTCTCAAGATGTTTTGAGTAGAAACTTTTACGTGTATATATACATACACATGTAACGAATTCAACTAATTTTTACAAGTGAGTGTTTTTTGAGTTGAAAACTCAATTCTTAAAATCATACGGGCTGCCAGATTTGCATCTCATATGAGGAGTTTTTTTCGCAAAATTTTAATATTAGTTAGGGGGGTATCCGGGGCTTGTCATATGTGAGATGCAAATCTGGCATCCCGTATGATTTTAAGAATTGAGTTTTCAACTCAAAAAACACTCACTTGTAAAAATTAGTTGAATTCCAAAATATTAAAATTCTAAGGCTATATAGAGCCAGTGCAGGGTGATGTGCATTTAAATAAATGTGCTCAGATATGTTTCAAAACGTTTCGACTATAATTCAAGTCCTTATCAATT